ATTCTTAAGACACTTTGTGTTCCATAAGTAGATACATTTACCTGTCGATAAAAATAAATTTTGGTGGGGAGTGGGGGCGCACTCTGGAAGCTGAGGCAGGATTGCCAAGAATTTGAGCCAGCCTGGGATATACAGTGAGTTCAACTGATCTTGATTTTTCATTTTTTAAACTGCTTAAATGAAAGACCTTTGTAATTCAAAACAGTCCTTTTGTATTAGACATGAATATTTGTATTTCCTAACTGGAGGTCTAGATCTACGTTAGCTTTACACCCTTCCCCCACCCCCTTGCTGGCCAGTGCCTTTCCTGTATCATGCTGTTCCTCTTTTTGGTTTTCAAATGTCTGTGAACTAGATCACCATGGTGGTGCCCAGAGGGAGAGAGAGAGTAATCCCAGCACAGAGGGCGGGGTAGGCAGGATTTCAAGTTCACACCTGGCCTAGGCAACTTAGTCAGATCCTATCTCAAAGTTTAAGAAAGCAAGGCTGGAGTTGCAGCTCCGTGCAAAGGCCCTGGGTTCAATTCCCAGTACAAAACAACAACAAAACAAAACAAAAAAAAAAACACCTTAGGTCCAATTCTTACACTTTTGTAGTCAATCACCCTGAGGTACAGCACTTACCTACGTAATTATTTTTATGTTCAATGCCTGACATTTCCTACGGGGCTGTAAGTTTCATCAAAGCCAGGCCTGTAACTGTAGCACTTAGCTCAATCAATACCTTAACACAGGCGAGCATGGTGGTGCGCACCTGTAATCCCAGCCCTTTTGGGAGGCTGGGTCGGTAGGATTGCTGCAAGTTTGAGGCCAGTTTGATTACACAGTGAGACCTTGTCTCAAAAAAACACAGAAAACAACAATAAAATGACTATTTCCCTTTGGGATGTATTTTAATTTCATACTAGAATGAGTTGGATGTCTTCTATTGCAGCAAAACCAAAAGAGTATTTAATCTCTCTTTTGGAACGTCTGAGAATTGCGAAAATCACTGGCGTCGCGTTTCCTTTCTTCGTGGATAACTCGAACATCGTGGCTATGTTTGACATGATGGACTCCTCGGGCAAAGGCACCATATCATTTGCTCAGTATAAAGAAGGTCAGTGTCTTCCACACATTGAAGTCCTATGGGGGTCACTCCGTAATTTTCTCTCGCTGAGAACAATCCCCACTTCATAAAGGTTCCATTCTTCTCATTCTAACTTTTACAGCCTTGAAGAACCTGGGTCTGTGCGCTGCAGATGAAGTCTTTAATGACGACGGACACAGAATAGCTCTGGAAAAATTCAGGGATGAAGTGTAAGTTTATTTTTTAAATGAATATTTTAGAAGCATGCCATGACTCAAGTATTACTAATACTAGTACAAACATTCCATTACCTTGAAACTTTCAGCTACTAGAAACCACTAGTCCTACTAGGGGGACAAAGGGGACAAGGAAGGGAGAGGAAATGGTGAAGTGAGAAGTTTGTTCAGTTTTTTTTTTCTTTTGGTCTTTTTGAGATAGGATCTCACTGTGCAGTTTATTTATTTATTTATGTATTTGTATTTTAGGGAAGGGTCTACAGGGAGTTCAGAGTCTTACTACTAGATTGGACTTGGTGTTTCTCCTGTTTACAGCCCCCCAAGTGCTGGGATTACAGGCATGTGCCACCACATCCAGTCTCATTCACCATCTCAGGGGTGGTATGGCAGGCCTGGGGATTGAACCCCTAAGCCCTGTGCCCACTTGCAGGTGCTTTAATCCGCTGAGCTATTTGGCTGGCCCTTCACTGTGCAGTTCAGACTGAACTTGAACTCACTTTGTAGTCTGGACTGACCTCGAATTCAAAATGATCCTCCTGCCTCAGCCTCCTGAGTGTTGAGATTACAGGCATGTGCCTCCTAGCCGAGCTCTAGAAGTTCCTTTTCTCAGTGGGAAACCCCAACACTTCTCTAAGAATGAGGTGAAGAACCTGATTTGGTAAAACTACCTGAAAAGCTTTGGATTCCACATATTGATGCAAAAGTCTGTGTAAAATATATAGTAGTGGGATGTATCTCAAAATATTTCCTCTGCATCACTGCCAAGTCAGTTTATCAACAGTACAGTTTATTATAGGCTGCCTGATCATTTTAGATTTGATTTTTTTTGTTGTTGTTGTTGTTTTTATTTTTTGAGATAGTGTCTTCTCTCTAGCCCAGGCTGGCTTCAAACACATGATGATCCTCCTGCCTCAGCATCCTGAGAGCTAGGATTACAGGCATGTGCCACTGCACCTGGCTGAGATTTTAGATTAGAGATATTACAAAATTAAAAGCATTAACTAAATGCTAAATCTGGAAAAAAAAAAACTGGAATAAAATTTGATAGTTGAGGGCTGGTGAGATGGCTCAGTGGTCTAAAGCACCTACTTAGAACAAGCTTAGCAAAGCACAGGAACCGCGGTTCAATCCCCCAGCACCACATGCCAGCCAGCCCCGCCCCCTGGTGGGCTGAGCTGGCCACACACACACACACACACACACACACACACAAATAAATATTTTTTAAAAAATTTGATAGTTATGGAAAGCCTTGATTTCATTTAGCTAAAATTGTTTGAGTTTTACTCTCTGAGGATTAATCAAAAAATCATTATTTAATATATCCCAAGCCCACGGAAAATTACAAAAAGGAAAGTGAAGATTTTTTCTGGAGCCAGCCAGACAGCTCAGGGGACTAAAGTGCCTGCTCAGGCAGGCACAGAGACCGGGGTTTGATCCCCAGTGTGCAGTGCTGGCCCCACCCATGGAGTGTGCTGAGACAGTGAGTGAGACTGGGCGTGGTGGTGTACACCTGTAACCCAGCACTTGGGAGGCTGAAAACAGGAGGATCACCACAGTCTGATCTGTGTAGTGAGACCCTGTACTAAATACATAAAAAAGAAAAGATTTTTGTCTCATCAGTTATGTAAATATTAAACAAAAATGTTTAATTACAGTCCTTACCACAGGGAAGCACAGTGCTGTACCCTGGATGTTTCATCCTGAGGTAATGCTGCCTCTCAGAAGGGAACTATGAAGCATTTGAAAGGAAGAGCATTCAGGTGGAAGCCTCGCTTACTCACCATGTTTCATGTTTTCTTATAGAAATATGACAGTGAGGGGCTGGCGAGATGGCTCAGTGGTCTGGGGCACCTACTTGGAGCAAGCTTG